TCATGATTCACACTGCCTGCGGATCGTGCGTTTGCTACGTCTAGCGAGGATTCAGGTTCCATCGAACCTGCGAGTCTGGCCGTAACCTCCCTCGTTACCTGCGAGTTGGCCTCATAGCTCTTGACTGTTGACGCTTCTTCGACCATCCGCTTTCAATGGACTTTTTTCCCGTTTCTTGGGCATGCTTATTTTGCCCATAACAGCACCCTATCTGACAAACAATCGCAAAAATTTCCTACCATGGCCGCGGGCCCTTCAGTCTTAACAATTGGTATGTAATAGTTGTCTCCGATTAACATTAGGCTTCAGTTCATAGATGAGTGAAAATGTGGCTGACGATCATAAGGGAAGGCAACGATGGCGGAAATTTTGGTCGCAGGTGTTTTGATCTTGTCCTGTCTCTTCATACATCGGGGAAAAAGTGAGCAGGAGCATCCGTTCTGCGCGTCCATAGCCTGTATTGTAGTTTAACTACCGTTTCTTTGCCGTGTATTTCAATGTGCCGATCGACCGTCCTTAGGCCACCTGCATTTGTGACCGATTTGGTGATTGTTGTAATTACTCTCACTACCTTTGTCGCTGTCCTGAACACTTTGTTTTTAAGGCAGCTATGATCTTTTTGGAAAAGTGAGTACAATTCGGAAAGCCCCCCGATTGCTTTTTTATCGATCATAATTCACCTGTTCTTGAAGATGGCCTGAATGCCAGTTCCTGACCCTGGTCGATGGCGAAGAGGGTGCCATCCACTAGCTGAGTCCAAAAGCACTATCTGCGCCGCTGCATAATCAACGGCTCCAACCGTTGCAAGACAGTATGTTTGTTGAGTCCAGAAGTCACTAGGCTTGTGGCCATGATTTTCGCCAATTCAATGATTATCTCGTTAAAATAGAGTACGTTTTGAGACAGAAACTCGCTAGTTGAAGCATTTGAGCGCCTCTAAGGCGGTTTCCCGTTTCCTCTTATTTCCTTTCCAAGAGTGCCTTGACGGTCTTTAAAAGTAATGAGTGGCTTCAAAAGAGATAGCTTGGGAAATGCCTTTCCTTTTACGTAATTACGAAATGCCTTACTGTAATAAAACTGGTCCACTTAAGCTGTTAGGACACACAGATAGTACTTGATAGATTTCCAGTTCTTCTCTTGAACGACTTTAATAAGTCACTGCACCTAGGTGTGTTTGGAATTAGGTTGACGTAGATGCAGCGGTTGTATACTTTTCTGTAAGCAAACTCCTTGGGAAATGGTCGCTGCACTCTATCCGGGCCAGTAGTGGACATTGTCGCTCGCGATGGACAAACTGTCGAGTACGTGTCTCAGTGTACGCACGGTGGTTCGTCTGTTTGATTACTTCTGTTGTCACACTAACAGTTTGATAAAATGTCTTGATTTCATTGCAAACTAAACTCTCTTTTGTTTTAAACAGCCTGGTCTTTGACTACCTCCTGAGACACGGTTTCTCCGATACAGCCATCGCACTGGCACCCATAATCGAAAACTCTTCGACAGCCCAGCTGGCCAAATCTGACAACGAAGGCGAGCAGCTAGAAGCCGTGGACTCGGCGGGCGACGATAGTAATGCTGAAAGTGCCGAACACGCCGCTGGTGAAGAATGGCCGGAGTCCTTCGAAGCCGTCAAGCGCCGTATCAATCTTATCCGTCTGATCGAGACGGGTCACTTCCTGGAGGCAATTACCGAGTTGAGCACCAACTATGTCAACCTCGTTCACCAAGCGCCCGCCAT